ACTTCATCTTTGCTTTGTTCTCTGTACTATTTTACATATACTTATTATTATAAATCCCTCCCTGAAGGGTAATCTAAAAGTATGTCACTCACTGTGCGCCACTTCATTCTCGTTTATCTTTTCACTCATTTGTCAGTCATCACCATTTGATCCTTTGCTGACTTCTTAAGTCACTCCACTGCTCAGTTTGTAGATCAGTGAAAGAAGACCAGGGCATGGAAATGTTACCAATGGAGAAGTAGGCATGCACTGCAATTAATTTTTAATGAGTATCCACATTTGACAGCTACTTAAAAGGGCAGGTAAGGATAAGTAGAGAGTTCCATCTATCAAATGGAGTTAGGATATGGACAGGTGCAAGCCTGAGTAATATGTTCATTGTGATGTCCTACACACACATGATGACGATGATGATGATGATAATGATGATGATGATGATAATAATAATAATAATAATAATCGGAAACTTCTCAAAGCACAGCAGACAAAGAACCAGTACAAGAAAACTGCACTGCAAACCAGAGCTGACAGTGGCACAACAAAGCATTGCACGGGCAGTTCCTTGACAAAATTGAAGTAAAAGTTGATAAGGAGAAGACTTAGTTATGGCTCACGAATGAACACTGAAGAAGGAAACAGAAGGCCTGATTCTTGCAACCCAGGAGCAAGCCATCAGGACAAATGCAATTAAGGCTAGGATCAAAAAATCAGCTGATGATCCAAAATGCAGACCGTGCAAGGAAGCTGATGAAACCATGGATCATATCCTCAGCTATTGCAAGAAAATCGCACAAATGGGCTACAAACAGAGGCACAATTATGTGGCCCAAATGATTCATTGGAACTTATGTCACAAGTACCTCCTGCCTGTAGTAAAGAACCGATGGGATCATAAACCTGCAAAGGTAGTGGAAAATGAACACGCAAAAATACTGTGGGACTTTCAAATCCAGACTGACAAAGTTTTGGAACACAATACACCAGACATCACGATTGTGGAAAAGAAAAAAGTTTGGATTCTTGATGTCGCCATACCGGGTGACAGTCACATTGAGGAAAAACAGCAGGAAAAACTCAGCCGTGATCAGGACCTTAGAATCGAACTGCAAAGACTCTGGTATAAACCAGTACAAATGGTCCCAGTGGTCATTGGCGCACTGGGTGCTGTGCCAAAAGATCTCATCCGGCATTTGGAAACAATAAACATCGACAAAATCATGATCTGTCAACTGCAAAAGGCCACCTTACTTGGATTGCGCACATCATTCGAAAATACATCACACAGTCCTAGACACTTGGGAAGTGTTCGACTTGGGATTTTGTGATACGAAATCCAGCATATAGATCTCATTTGCTGTGACATCCTGTTGTGTCAGTAAATAATAATAATAATAATAATAATTATTATTATTATTATTATTATTATTATTATTATTATTATTATTATTTTATTTGTTACTCGTCTCTCCCTACGGCTCGAGATGGGATACAACATGGTTAAAATATAAAATATAATACTATTAAATGCATATATTAAAAGACACAGAACAAAGATAGTGAGGACAGCATATAATTTCCAGCAGTTGTCGGGAGCACTTCCCACTACCTTCAACTATAATTCTGTTGGACATTGAGTGGGAGGGAGCAGCCAGCCAGACACAGCTACATCATGTCTTATGTATTAAATCTTATTTATCTCATGTAGATTGTAAGTCTGGGGGCAAATTAATATTTTGTAAGCCATTCTCAAAACCTGGCTTTTCCGCTGCGCCTTTGGCGAGTAGGTACACAACATGATATTTTATACCCCCTCAACGTTTTTGGCTAATGGACTTCGTGCCCTCCAAATAGGATGTTCTGTCCCACAACTCTGTGTGTTTTATGAGTTCCATTTAAACGTCCTGCTCCCACTTTATCTCATCATAGTTTGTTAATTGTTTTTTATTCGGAATATGTGGCCCGCCCATTGTCATCTCTATCGTGAGGGTGTCTATTGGAATTTTTATTTTATTTTATTTTATTATTATTTTTAATGTCATTTTGATAATGTTGTTGTTTGTTGTATATATTTTGTTTTTATTGCTGTATTATGTTGTCTGGGCTTGGCCCCATGTAAGCCGCTCCGAGTCCCCATCGGGGAGATGGTGGCGGGGTAGAAATAAAGATTATTATTATTATTATTATTATTATTATTATTATTCTGAGTGTCTTTTGTAATTAAAAAATGATATGAGCATCAATCTATTTAGAGTATGTCCGCCTCACCCACAGATTTGATATTATGGGTTCACTTACCTATGTTCAACCCTCCTGCCCCCCCCCCCCCGGTATTTATTAATTAATTTATTTATTTAGAACTTTTATATACTGGTCTTCTCACCTCCGCCGAGGGACTCAGGCCGGTTCACAACAACAGTAGCACAGACAATCATTTAAAAACATCACATCCCATAATACACTAAAACATTAAAATACTAAAATACAATCATATAATTAATTGGCCAAGTCGTCAAAATAAAATCGTAGTTCATCACCATCCATCCATGTAGTCACGAGTTATTGACTCACTCGTCAAATGCCAGTTTCCAGAGCCAGGTTTTCACCTGTTTTCTAAAAGTCAGGAGAGAAGGGGCAGTTCTAATCTCCAGTGGGAGAGAGTTCCAGAGCCGAGGGGCCACCACCGAGAAGGCCCTGTCCCTCGTCCCCACCAGACGCGCTTGTGAGGACGGTGGGACCGAGAGCAGGGCCCCTCCAGAAGATCTTAACAATCTTGGTGGTTCATAGGGGAGAATCCGTTCGGACAGGTAAACTGGGCCGGAGTCGTTTAGGGATTTATAGATTAACACCAGCACTTTGAATTGTGCTCGGAAGCTAATTGGCAGCCAGTGGAGCTGGCGCAACAGAGGAGTAGTATGCTCCCTGTACCCAGCTTCTGTTAGTAATCTGGCTGCCGCTCGTTGGACTAGTTGGAGCTTCCGGGCAGTCTTCAGAGGCAACCCCACGTAGAGAGCGTTGCAGTAGTCTAAACGGGATGTAACAGAGTGTGGACCACCGTGGCCAAGTCTTTTTTGCTAGGTCTTCTAGTGCAACTCTGTGGTATCCTTCTAGCCCAGGTATAGTCAAAATATAAATCCATGGATATCAGTGGGGACGGTCTTGAAATATATTCTCTGTGGATAAGGGATCATACTGTATTTTTTTAACATATCCCATATTGTAGGATCAGTTCGAACAGTTTGAAATAATTTAAAACTATAAATATCCAACTGCATATTAATCCATTTAACACATAAAACAAAGCAGAATGAATGCAGTCAAAATACTTTCAATCACTCATCTGTGCAAAGGTGGATAAGATCAATCACATCCCCAAAGTGTTTAGTAAACTGCCATGTTTTCACTTGGTGCTGAAAGACAGCAGTGCTGGTGCCAATCAGGCGTTTAAAGGGAAGGCATCCATAATTAAGGTGCAGACAAAGCCTCCTCCCACGCTTTCTTACTATGTATTGCCTTGATTGATGGGACACAAAGAAAGGCCCTTCAAGCATATCCCAGACAGGTATATCATGCAGTAACTCATTTTTCTAGGTCATGTCTAATGTTGGAATCCCAACCAGGGACTCATCCTGAAGTATACTATCAACAGTGACAGACATTTTTAGCTGTGCAACTCTATGGTATGTTTTCGGCCCATGCTCCACAACATTTTTTTAAGTCAGTGTAGATATATCCATCCAATGCAATCTGCTTATGCATACTTGAAATGGCTTTTATTACTACCCTTGAGGTATTTGTCTGGTGGGAAGCACTGGAGTCAAACCAGGCTAATCATCCATATAATGATAGGGATAATTGCAGGCAGACAGAAATATCTAGGAAAAGAAAATGGCCAGACAAGCACCCAACCGGTTACCATTTCCTGTATAGCACACCTCTGAGGCACATATTTACATGCACATTTATGTCTCTACCAAGACAAAAACAAATCCCTACCAAACCTGTCATTTACCTGGCGACTGACATTATTAACCCAAAAGGAAACAGCTTTTTTCAGACAAGCTTGACAATGTGAATGACAGAGGCAAGATTAAGCACTTTTCAGAGTTATTAGATTCACTGGAAGAGTTAGATATGTGTTATTCCTCTCTCCCAGAGATCACCAATACAGTACGCTAAGGTTGCATCTGCATTGTAGAATTAATGCAGCTCGACACTACTTTAACTGCCATGGCTCATTGCTATGGGATCCTGGGATTAGGAGCACGGTTAAACAATGACACTCTTTGGCAGAGAAGGCTAAAGATCACGTAAAAGTAGAAATTTTAAGTCATTTCTGAAATATGTCAACCATAAGATGAACCTATCATGGCATTTTATAGGTTTAGTCCCTTCTTCTGAGGTTTAGTCCCTTCTCTTCAAAACCTTTATTCCAATTACATGCTACCTGTTCATGGCCAGCATTATTTTTTAATTTTTTAAAAAAATTTTAATTATTGCATTTGACCAGCCATTGGTTTTTAAATGCGTCGTGTTATTGTTATTGTTTTTGCTTATTTTGCTATGAGTTTTGTATTGTATTGTTTTTGTATTGTTGCTGTTATTGTTATTATTGTGTTTGGGCTCGGCCTCATGTAAGCCGCACCGAGTCCCTCGGGAGATGGTAGCGGGGTACAAATAAAGTATTATTATTATTATTATTATTATTATTATTATTATTATTATTATTATTGTGAGAATATGGCTTGCCAGGATCACCCAGTGTGTTTGCATGGCTGAAAGAATTCAAGACCTGTCTCTAGAGTCATATTCCAATGCTCAAACCACTATAGTATTCTTATTTATACTGTTAATTATATTTAATTTCATTCTGAGATATTAGAAATACGGGAATTTGTGCAGTTAGACCAGGCATGAGCATACTTAGGTCCTCCAGGTGTTTTGGACAGCCAGTAGGCTGTGCCCAGCGGCATGTGTAAGGCAAGGCACCACTTGGGACAGACCTGTGGTTGTCATGGAGGCCATGAAGTCCTGAGCTACTCCTGTCAGGGCAGTCTCAGCATGGATGATGAAGTCTTCCAGCACTGTTAGCTGCCGAGAGTCTAACGTTAACCCCAAGACCACCGAAGCTAGCTCAGGAAGGGAGACTATTGAGCAGTGGGGTGGGCGGTACATCAATACAATCCTTATTCTGTCCCTTATATATTTGCTGCTGGATTCCAAAATAACGCATGTTCTGTACTGCTCAGATGTTCATGACTATTAAATACAGAACTGTTGGAGGAGGGAGGAAAAATTATGCATAGCTCTTCCAAGATGTAAATTGATGCAGTTTCCTCATGTGGCAAATATGTAGCATCTCAGAATTTCTTAAGAAAATGGGGAATATTCTCAGGATTTTTAGTCTTGAACCATCCTATTTTTATTATAAGGACTGATGGACCAAGGGAAACTGGAATACAGATAGCTGGCTAAATCAGAGGTATAGATTAGTATTTATTTTAACATTTCTACTACAAAAACTCTGGTCCATGCCAGAGACTAGAAAACTGACTTTCTTGAACTACAATACCCAGCATCCTTCAGCTAAGTAACAATGTTGATCAATTCCATTTCTTGTATTCCTCACAACTGTGAAGTATGGTGGGGTGGAATGTATTGCCTACTCACCTGTGAACCATATACAGACATCTGCAACTTTCGACACCTTACTTTCTGACAACTTGATCTTTCAACATTGGCAAATTGTAGACAAGTTCCATTCATTTGATGATAGGTCTTCTCTTTTATCACTTTTCTTGCCTATGAGGCTCACTTAGGATTGCTTGTGTGCAAGTGACCTCTTCTTGAATCACTTTTGAATGTGTGCAAAAGTGTGCATTAATTCAAAGGATATATATATATATATATACACACACACATATATAGTGTTACCTACATTTTTCACACGCCAAAATATCCGTATATACTCGAGCATAAGCCGACCCGAATATAAGCCGAGGCATCTCATTTTACAACAAAAAACTGGGAAAACGTATTGACTCAAGTATAAGCCGCGGGTGGGAAATGCAGCAGCTACTGGTAAATTCCAAAATAAAAATAGATACCAATAAAATTGCATTAATTGAGGCATCGGTAGGTTAAATGTTTTTTAATAAATAAGATAAGACTGTCCTCTGATTAAAGCATTATTCTAACCTTCTTCAGTGTAAATGTGTTTACATATCCTTCCAATAATAATGTACTACTAGAATCAAATTATATAATTGTTATTTCTTTGAAGCATCCTCAGTTCTACTGTCTGTAAAACCTAAACTGAAATTTAGTAGTACACAATGAGGCATGATGAGTGTTAGGCAATAGCTTCTAAGGGGTGTCTAGTCTTCTTCGTTATCAGATCTGACTAATCTGCAATGCCAATGAGCACCTAACCGGGATTGTTAATAAGTGTTCTGCCCCAGCTACTGAATAGAACCACCTGTTTTGTATAGATGTGAATAAATAGATTTAGGACCTGTCCACACAGAATAAAAAAAAGCTGTATTCATTACCTCATAGCCACTGTGAGCCAAATAAATGATGACTATGATTTTTTGTTTGCAATGTGTTTCTTTGGGCTTTAATCCTGTTTAAAAATTGACTTTTACACAGAAATTTTACAGAAAATTTGGAATTTGGGACATGTGGTTGGTTAGCAAGTCAGCATCACTTTGTTATGTTGTTGGGGATAAGAAACTGGATAATGGTATACACTGGTTGGTGGGAGGTGAACATTCCTACCAGAAAGTGGCTCTTTCCCAGGCTGAATTTTATACTTTAAAAAAAGTTCATGTTTGTGAGTGCTCTCATATCAGTATATCATTTTTATATACATGACAAAGAAAAAAGTATAGCATCCACAGCTATGTGGTAAAAATAATATTACACTGAAAATACATATTACCTCCTAACAGTGAGGTGAGTTTGCCAAACTGGTTATGGTGATTTCGCCACAATCTGTATAATAATTGGATTGCTCAAATTTTGAGTTAATTGTTCACTGAGAATCACTTCAGAATCTCCAGAAGTAAAACAAAAGGTATCACCTCAATAGCTTCCTTAAATGAAGTCGGAAATCTGTACCTCGGAATAATTTTTACACAGTACTGCCTTACTTCCACAGAATATGAGAAACATCCTCCCTCTGAAGGTAATTATTGGGACTATCTAAAATTTTTGATAGGGCTCACAGGAAACAGATTGTTTAAGCAACAGCATGACATTAGTTCTGTTAGTAGTGCTTTTTAAAAACTAACTAGGAATCACTGGGTTTTTTCGGGCTATATGGCCATGTTCTAGAGGCATTTCTCCTGACGTTTCGCCTGCATCTATGGCAATGCCTCTAGAACATGGCCATATAGCCCGAAAAAACATGGCCATATAGCCCAAAATGCCTCTAGAACATGGCTTTATCCCGAAAAAACCCACAAGAACTTAGTGATTCCAGCCATGAAAGCCTTCAACAATACACTAACCAGGAATGTTACATACAATGTGGTATAGGTAAATCTTAAAGGATATTTTTCTACTGAAATCAAGACCCACGGTTCAAATATTTATGTAAATCAATATTAAAATATAAAGCAAAAATGCTCAAGCTTCCACAGTCAAATCCCAGTGAGTGAAGCAACTCTAGATACTTGCCTGAGAGGGAGGAAGTGGAGAGGTCAATTCGAGTAGACCCAGGATACATTTTCAACCTCTGCCGTAAAACCCTGTTGATTGTTGACCGATGCACCATTTTATCATCACTTGAGGAGAAGAGGAACATGAGCACGACTTGTGCAATCACTCCACCTGTGTCTGGGCTGAAAGACAACCAAACCACATAATGCTTGCTGATTAATCTATATATGTTCTCATACACATACAATTTTGCCCTGAGATTAGTCAGTTTTGATAAACTGAAATGAATTTATATTCACAATCACTGTATGAGAAAAGGATAATAGGAATATCACTATTGTATTATTACTATTGCTATTATCAAATGTCTCCTGGTGGTTAGAAAAATCTCAAAAAGTAGCAAAGTCCAGAGCTCTAGAGGGCCCAGAGTTATTGAATAGTTTTTTTAAAAAAATCACACACAGATTTTAGTATTTTTTGATTTGGATTCTACTCAAGAATATAGAAATCAGAAGGTTAGAGTTTTATAATGTGCCATATTCCACTATCCATCTGTTTCATTAAAGTGTATGTAAGTACTAGGGGTAGGCCGTGACAGACTTTGTATTTCTAGGTGCAAAGATTACTGCAGATGCAGACTGTGGCCAGGAAATCAGAAGACGCTTACTTCTTGGGAGGAAAGCAATGTCCAGTCTCGATAAAATAGTAAAGAGTAGAGACATCACACTGGCAACAAAGATCCGCCTAGTCAAAGCCATGGTCTTCCCTGTAGTAACCTACGGATGTGAGAGTTGGACCTTAGGGAAGGCTGAGCGAAGGAAGATCGATGCTTTTGAATTGTGGTGCTGGAGGAAAGTGCTGAGAGTGCCTTGGACTGCGAGATCCAACCAGTCCATCCTCCAGGAAATAAAGCCCGACTGCTCATTGGAGGGAAGGATACTAGAGACAAAGTTGAAGTACTTTGGCCACATCATGAGGAGACAGCAAAGCTTGGAGAAGACAATTATGCTGGGGAAAGTGGAAGGTAAAAGGAAGAGGGGCCGACCAAGGGCAAGATGGATGGATGGCATCCTTGAAGTGACTGGACTGACCTTGAAGGAGCTGGGGGTGGTGACGGCTGACAGGGAGGTCTGGCGTGGGCTGGTCCATGAGGTCACGAAGAGTCGGAGACGACTGAACGAATGAACAACAAGTACTAGGGGTGTGTAAATCTTCCTTTTTAAATTGTAAGTAGCATCTAATTCATAAGTTCTGTATATACAAACAGATATTAAGAAACACAGGGGGGTGGGGTGCCCACGCAAAAACTTAAGAATCAAAACTTATTCAGTACTTTTTTGTTTGAATTCCATAATGCTCAGAAGTCTGTTTCTCAGCGAGGCAAAGCTAAAAAGGTTGCAATTCCTCTTTAAATTAAGAAGAGATAGGCTCCCTCTCGCCATGAGGAGAGGAAAGCAACAGGATGGGAGGAGCTGAGTGAGCTAGGAAAGAGACTGAGAGAGCACAGAATTTTGGGAAATGTAATTTGGGAAGATGAGGAACCCTATGGCAGATAATTCAAAAGCCCCTGTCCTAAATTACCTTTCCCAGAATTCTGCTCAGCATCAGAAAGCCCCAACTAGGATAGGAAAGAGATTTGTCTTTCCTACCAGCAGCCAGAGTTCTAATAAATTGTTGTATCTGCAAAGAGGAGGACTGACTGATACTTCAAGACTAGTAAGTAAAACTGTGCTGGGCTGGGAAGAAATCCTTTAATTGAAGTTTTATTGGTTAAAATATTAAATGAGATAGCTGTTTATTAATTATTATTTATTTAAAACTTTTATATCTTCTCTAGATCTTCTCTACCTCTGCAGAGGGACTCATACCGGCTAACAGCAGAGATTCAATGCTAACACTGAAAATCTAAAACATAATACACAACATTAAGTTACCAATTACATTACATAAATTACATAAAATTACATCTTGTGGCTTTTAAACCTATTTTGTAAAAACATTTCTGAAAATTTCTGAAACTTGAGGAGAAGGATTCTCTGTTATCTTGAGTCATTGTATAGAAACTTTAAGTATATGGCTCTTGTAAGTTTTTTTTTAAAAAAAACTGTTTGCAATGATTTTGAAAATTCCCATCTGTTTCCATGAATGGTGTGAAACGTTTCCATGAATGGTGTGAAACGTTTCCATGAATGGTGTGAAATCCATGAATGAGTGAAACGTTCTGAAACTTGATGGGCTAACAGTGGTAAATGTGTTCTACAATCATAGCAAGTTTCATGCCAATAGCTCCAACAATGAGGGAGAAAGGAACCCCTGAATTTTCTTCATTGGCACAATTACTTAACGATAAGTAACAAAAAAGTAGTTAATTTGTTATAGTTACGATACAGACCCCAACCAATTTCAGAAACACTTCAGAAATTATTTTCCCCCCACCCCACCCCCAAATTTCATAATGAGTATTTAAACTTTTTTTCATTGATCGCGCAGGCCTGGCATTGCAATTCTGTCTATGGCAATTTCATCCCAATGACTTGTTGGTTTGTTTGGAATTTCTTCCAGGTGACTTATCACCACTGGTATCACAGTTGTTTTCTTTTCCAAGGGATCTCATTTTTTTATATTGCTAAGACATAGTATATTATTGTTATTCTTCTTGTTAACTACTTTACAGATAGTATCAGACTTCCAGTGGTGAAATAATACATCTCTGCAAATCACAATCATGCTGTGTTCTTGCTCAGCATGACAAAATGCTTGGGAAGGGAATGACACTTTTGAGAGCTATGAACAACACCCACTGAAAGAAATGATGTTCATAAAGCACTACACTTGTGGAATGTCTTCCTTGTGTCTATTACCCAGAAATTGCTTCGTTTCCCCACACAAAATTACTTGCAACATATTACTGATGACATCACAGTTGCACCATGCAAAATAATGCAGCAACAATTATTTTTGCAAGTCTTCTGATTCAGGCAGGAGGAGAAGTGAATGTGCCTATGTTTACACATCTTTCCACAGGTAATTTGTAATGATGCAAAATGGGATGAAACCCAAGCTTTCAATCCCCCATTAGTTGGCTAGCGTTTTCTAGGAATTATAGTTTCAAAAAACATTTCCACCTTTAATCAACACTAGCAATGACTGACCTTGAAGGAGCTGGGGGTGGTGATGGCCGATAGGGAGCTCTGGCGTGGGCTGGTCCATGAGGTCACGAAGAGTCAGAGACGACTGAACGAATGAACAACAAAGCAATGAAGAATACATGTAATGGGATATTCAGCCAGAAGCTTTTCCTGTTTGGAAATTCATGGGCTGAGTCCACTCACCTCTCTGTGCTTTCACATTACACTGCAATGCCACAGCATTCATTTTCTCAGTTTTACACTCCATTTCCCAAAATTATCAAGGTATACTTGGGAAGGGTATGGAGCAGGAAAAACCACTACTGAGAATTTACAAAAGTAGAGGGATTCCAAACTCAGGCGCATTTTGGCAGAGAGTGAGGAAACTCTGATACAGCTCCTAACCTTTGCTCTGCTATATCCAGACAACTTGGTAACTGTAGGACCATATCATGGAAAGAATATTTGCAAATGTTCTTATTCTTGACAAGAAAAGTGGTAAACTGCTGTAAAGTTATTTGCCCATATACTAGAACTAGGATGAGAGAACACCAATACTAGGTACTGTAGGTAGGCTATGTTTCAGGAGAAGGAACTGGCAAACCCAGTCTGAGTATTCCTTGCCTATAGAAATCAAAAATTCATGAAATCAAAAATATCCTTAAACTCTAACTCAAGAGAAAAACCTCTGAATTTTTTCATTTACGAAAAGAACAAATGATATACTTACATCCCTAGTATGAACACGGGGAGGAAAAGATACTGATGTTAAAAAGACTGCTGGCAGCAGATACCCAGTTCACTAGACTGGGTCTGTGAGCTTTGCTGAATTCACAGGAAAAGCCCAGATCTTCCCTAGGAAATTTAAAAACAATAGATTCAGAAATGCTTGTCCCATTCTGAATCAAGATGAGTAGTTCTAATTCACTACCAATTGTTCATTTATTTCATTTATATATCACTTTTCTCACCCCTGGGGGATGGGGGGGGTGGGACTCAAAGTGGTTCACAGCAGAGTAAACGGCAAAATTCAATGTCTCACAAAATATAAAATACATCACATACGATGAATAGATCTTTTTAACAATCAAGTAACCTACAAAACCTGATATTATTTTTATTTATTTACTAGCCTTCCCCTGCCACACATTTCTGTGGTTCTGTCTGGGAGGTATGGCCCAATTCTATCCTTGGTGAGGTTCGGAATGCTCTGTGATTGTAGGTGAACTATAAATCCCAGCAACTACAACTCCCAAATGTCAAGAGTCTATTTTCCCCAAACTCCATCTGTGTTCACATTTGGGCATATTGAGTATTCGTGTAGAGTTTGGTCCATATCCATCATTGTTTGAATCCAGAGTGCCCTCTGGATGTAGGTGAACTACAACTCCAAAACTCAAGGTCAATGCCCACCAAATCCTTTCAGTATTTTCTGTTGGTCATGGGGGTTCTGTGTGCCAAGTTTGGTTCAATTCCATCATTGGTGGGGTTCAGAATGCTCCTTGATTGTAGGTGAACTATAAATCCCAGTAACTACAACTCCCAAATGTCAAGGTCTATTTCCCCGAAACTCCATCTGTGTTCATATTTGGGTGTATTGAGTGCTTGTGCCAAGTTTGGTCCAGATCCATCATTGTTTGAGTCCACAGTGCTCTCTGGATGTAGGTGAACTACAACTCCCAAACTCAAGGTCAATGCCCACCAAACCCTTCCAGTATTTTCTGTTGGTCATGGGAATTCTGTGTGCCAAGTTGGTTCAATTCCATCGTTGGTGGAGTTCAGAATGCTCTTTGATTGTAGGTGAACTATAAATCCCAGCAACTACAACTCCCAAATGACAAAATCATAATTATTTGAGTGATGGTCACTCCTTGTGTTGTGAGACGTTTTGTTGCCAAATTTGGTGTGATTTCGTTCATTGGTTCTTTTGTTTTTAAGGTACTCATTATGCACAGAGCATTTTTATATATATAGATTATTTACAGTATTTATATTTAGCCCTTCTCACCGCGAAGGGGACTCAGGGCGGATCACAATGTACACGGCAAACATTC